ACGGCTGCAGCTTCCCCCAGACTAAATGCAGGGCGCCCCGCGGTGTTTCAGGGAAGGGGGTGCTCTGCTGACATCGCTGATGGGAGCCGCGGCTCTGCCCCCGCGACGCTTTGGCGCTTGCGTTATAATTTGGAACCGGCCGTTTCTTTTGTTTTCCAAGAGAGGAAAACAGTTCCCCTCCCAAGAAGGACTTCTCCGAGAGTTGTGCTGTTCTAACTTTCAAAGCGGCATTGTTCACGTCTGACCACAAACAAGCAATGAACACACAGTCCGGGCCCAGTCAGGCCAAGTTCCTGCCGGCGCGGGCTCGGCTCGACGGGCTCAGCCCCTGCGGGGCATCTGCGTCCCCCAGGGCCCGAGCCTGCCCTGAGGTTGCCAGGGACCGTAGTTCAGCGGGGCGGGCACCTCCGACAAGCTTTAGATGGCCAGCGGAGGGAAGTCCACGTGGGCGCCGGGCTCAGGCAGAAGGGGCAAAGGCCCCCGCTGCCCTGGGGCCCCGGGAAGCCGCCGCGCCCAGCCCATGCAGCGCGCGGAGGCCCGGCTCGGTCACTGACCACGTCCATCCACGTGACGCCTCTTGGGTGCCCCTGCTTCCGGCCTCCCGGCGGCTCTCACCGGCCCCAGGCCCACGCAGGCCCGGGGCGCCTTCCCACCAGATGCCATCCTGACATTCTGAGTAAGGAAGCAGGCGAAGTCGGGGAGTCCGCCCCTTCCCCTGCCTCCGGCCGGCGGGGCTGGGGTTACTGGGTGCTGTATTGACGTCCAGGCAGGCCAGTGCAGGCCCCTCGTTTCCAGAGCCACAGCCACAGCTGCTGTACCCTGTCCAGTGTGCCAAGCGGTCAAAACTGCCCACGTCCTCCCGCGGCCCAAGCTCCTGGCCCAAGTCCAGAGTGGGGAGCCCGGCGTCGAGCGGGCAAGGGTGAAGGAGCCTCAGCCCAGGAGCCGGAGGCTTGCAGACAGCAGCCGGGCGAGGAAGGTGGGGTGACCGGCGAGGGCGAGGGGGAGCATCCCGCTGAACAGAAACAAGCATCCCGCGAGCAGGCGGCGGCAGACCTGCTCCACAGCTTCCCGAGAGGACACTCGGGGGCCAGCAGACAGGTGTCGCCCACCTCCGGCGCGGGACATGCCAGTCAAACCACCAGGAGACGCCGCCTCACACCCGCGAGGACGGCTCCAGCGCGCAGGAAGGGCGCCGGGCACCTGGGCGGGCG